ACTGGAGACCTGGATTCGATTCCTGATGGCCTCATGGAAGACATCCGGCAAATCACTTCACCTCCCCAAGCCTCGCTTTGCCCATCTGTGAAAAAGGAGAGCGCGATGCTTCCTTTCTAGAGTGATTTGAGACCCGGTGGTGCAAAGTGCTTTGGAAAGAGCGAGGGATTTCCAGGAACGTCAGGATGGAAGAGGGCTTCTGCATTATCCAAACCAGTCCCCTCCTATGTACTAGGATGGCAGCACTTTGGGCTCCTATTCAGGCCAGGCCACTGCTAGAAGCTACACATATGAAACTAGAGATGGTCCTTGCCCTAAAGAACCAAACTTTTGGAGGACCTTCTGGGCTCTTCTGGTTTCTCCCCACCTCTATGTTTTTTTTGCTATATGTGTCAGGGTGTTTTTAAGCCTCCCCAGAGGCGCTGGATGTTGGCTACAGCTAGGACTGGGGACTCTGGGTTGTGCCAATGCTCCTGCTAGGAGCAAAGCTGGAGGTTCCTGGCTAAAAAATTTGCTCAGGGTCAGACTGATGCCACATTTGGGGTCCGGAAGGACTTTTACCCCATGATCAGATTGGTACAGACTGGGAAGAAGGGGAGGTTTGCTTTCCTGTGTAGTGGGGGGGCATAGCCCCCTACCCGGGACCTCTTGAGCACACAGTGACACTGTATAAAAGCAAGACATTGGCTGCTGTGGCTCCCCTGCTTTACCTACAGCCGGTTTGGGCGACAGGTCTGTCGTGTCAGGGTTGATGGTAGTTTTACGAAGAGTTTAGATGACGGATGCTTTGGATGGGGCTGACCCTGCCTCTGGCAGGGGGTTGCAGTAGATGACCCCTGCAGATCCCTTCCAGCCCTTTTCTATGACTCTACAAGGATGAAGGAGAAGCCCTGAGCTTGTCTGCAAGGTTGCTCTGAACAGCCCAGGAAACGCACGTCTCCACTAGGCTCAGCAGCTGCACGAAGGCAATGCCTCCCACCTGGGCCCGCGCTGCCCACGGCACTTCCTCGCATCGAAGCATCCTGCTCAGCTCTAACCGGTTTTACTTTGGCATGGTCGATCCAACCTCTCCCATGGGAAACCTAAGAAAGTTTAAACCCTAGCTTGGTTTATCCACACATCCATGTGCTTTGCAGAGAACCCAAGGCAGAAAGGGGACCAGCTACTTGCCCAGCTTTTTTCCAGCTGGATTTTGAAATGCCAGAGCCAGCTTTCCTCTTGGGAGAAATGCCGTGGGATCTCTCACCTCCGTGTCAAACACGCAGGACTCATAGATGTTGATGGTAGGGGCTGGAAAGGACCTTACAAGATCATCAGGTCCAGGCTCCAGACTCATTCAAAGCTCTCCAGAAACCCTCCAACACTAGACTAGCGCGTACCCAGCTGAGCAAAATGCAGAGCCAACTCTGCCTCGCAGTTCAAAGAGGTCTACACCTTTCAAACCTGAGACGTGGCTTCTCCCAGCTGCCCCTTCCAGTGGACATCTCAACCAGCAGCAAGTGAGCAAGGAGCACAACGAGGGGCCAGCACGAGGCTGGAGCAGCTGGGAAGACCCCGATGTGAGCTCATGAGGCCTTGTCTTCCTCCACGACGCACGGGGATTGCACCCGTCTGCATCAAGGAAACACCTCCAGGCTGGAGAGAGGATCCAGAGGGTTACAGCAGGGGAGGAAAAATACAGCAAGTTGCATACAATTCCCGATTCAAAACTCCCCAGCCAGTTAGTTTCCTCTCCGCCCAGAGCTGGCCATTTCCCTTTGGCAAACAGCAATTTCATTTTTCTTCCTGGCCGGGATATTTGGTTTCTTTCCTTAAGCCGAGTGCAAGCCAGCGTGGCAAGAGGCTCTTTGCTCACGGCTTGATGCGTCAAACATGCCACGGCCTCTCCCTCCCCACCGTCCGGGAACAGGGCTTGCGGGCTGCTTTCCAAGGAAGGGGAATTTCAAAACTGGACTTTTTCCCTTCCTTCTCCCTTATTTTTCCCCGCCAGTGAGTCTAAAAGCACAGCCAAGTGGATTGAAACTTCCCAGCTCCTACATGGCTCCAAACACAACTGCCCCGCGCGTCGCAGCAGGAGAATCAGAAAGCAAAATGGTTTCCCTGTGCAAGGCGAGCACCCAACCTTTTCGATGTCCTCAGTTTCCCCGTTTCTAAAGTCAATGCACTTGCCTCTTGTGCACAGCGCCTCAAGACGCAGGGTTGAAACGCATCACAGCGGCGCTAGGGTTGCATACTAAAACTGCTCCTCCATCGGCCGTATATTCGATTTGGAGTCTTTGATGCAGATGCAACCGTTCAGTTATGGGTAACTCAAGAGAGGGGATTGCTGAACGTGTCTGGGCTCCTGCCGTTTGTGTTATAATGTTCCATCTATAACCACGTTCAGCGGCTTTAAAATCTCCCTCGATTGAATGATCCTAATAGACCCACTAGGATCTCGTGATTGAGAGACAGAGAAAGTCACTGGAGTGTGCCGAACCCTTCATACCAGTGCATTTAAGAGCATTCACTGTATAGTGAGCACGCAGTTATCTCCGTCTACTTCCCTCGCTCCCAGGACTGTAGGATGTGAGCTGTTTCATGGGCATCGCTCTCCCCTACTCCATCTCAACAGGAAAGAACAATATCGTTTGCATGTCCCCAATGGGGAAACTGAGGCACCGAGCTTCAGCGATGTGCCTAGGATGACACAGACACTATATAGCAGAAGTAACAGGGATCACTGGCACCCCGGCCCGACGCCTTTCCTGCTAGAGCCTCCATTCCCACGGACATGGGTCACACATCAGACCTATGCCCGGGGACGCGTTGCAGACAACGGGAACGTTTCCTTGGTATTCGCGTTTCTCGATGGCCGAATGCACAAGGAGGAGCCAAACAGCAGCACAAACAGAGCTGCAGCCTTCCTCTACGCCACCCTGGAAACCTGCATCTGGATTTGCCCAAAATACTCAAGTGTCTTAACCGCCAATCTCTTTTCCATTGTTACTTGCCGTAGTCAGCCCTTATCTCCATCTTTCTGCCTTGCTTTTAACATGCTTTGTTTACTGCCGCAAGATAAGGAGGCGATTTAGCAACACAAGATCCTTCAGTCTTCTGAATGAGCGCAGGCTTTTGTCAGCGCCCGGGCTCCTTTAGGGAGGAGAGGAAGAACGAGTGGATTAAATGATGTCTAGGACCAGGTGCTGCCTGCAGTTGCATCAGCACAAACCCAGAGCAAAGGAGGTGGAATTATATATGGGAGCTTTAGGATTTGGTGCCCAGGATTTGTCTCGGCAGACGACCACTGCACACCAATTTCACTCCACCCTAAAAGCCGCTGCAAAATGATGCCTCGACTCCATCCCAGGCCTGCGGGGTAAAGCCGGGGAGAAAGGGTGCGACCGCTGGGATGTCGACACGCTGAGCAGGGAAGAGGCAGCATGGATGGGGCCTACATGAACAGGCTTGTTTCAGCAACAACTCAAAGACCCAGCCGGCTGCCTAGACTTGAGCATGGGAAGAAAGCACGCAGGTAGAAAACAAGAGCAAACTGCTCCGTTCAAGTCAGCAGCAGCATCTTCACCGGCATTTTGCAGAGCATCACTCCGCTCGTCCCCCGATACAACAGAGACAGATGGACTGCAGCCCACATCCTCTGCTCTGGCTCCACTCCTGACAAAAAGGGATTTTTTAACCTAAAAATGAGAGCTTATCATCGGTGACCTTGTGCAGCGTGAGTCTGGCTATGCTGGCTGGACGCCTGGTGCTAATTTCCCTTTACTCTCCCTTCCTGAAGGTCCCCCCTTCTCAGAAAGATGAGAGAGAGAACAACAGTGGCTAACGAGGCACTTAATTCCTCAAAGCTAAAAGCAGCCGGGCTTTGTGCTTAGCCACGTTCCCTGGTGATCCCAGGGGCAGGTAAGGCACGGTGTTTGGTACCCTCTCCCCCCAAGACCCTGGTTAGAAGTCACGCAGCCCACTTTCTATGTGCAGCATCCAAGAGTCTGGCAATAATGAATTCACTGTACATGTGCAAGGCTAGTCTCTATGTGCAGCATCCGAGAGTCCGGCAATAATGAATTCATTGATTCTCGCACGATCCCTGCAAGAGGGGGAGTCGCTATAAGCCCATGCAGGGACGCAACCGCTGAAGTGACTTGCTCGAGGTGTCTGTAGTCTCATCTAATGCCGAGCCCACTGCAACCTCACTCCATCCTAGCGTCCTTGGCAATGCCAGGGGCACAGATGGACCTGCTGCCACTCTCACAAGCAACCACATCCCAGCATCGGTTCCTTAAGCTAATCTATTTTAGAGCCATGTAGGGTTTTTTGCTCCCGTTCCTGCCACTGAAAGGCAGATCCAGAGCCTCACCTCTCTCAAAATGTCCACAATAACTTCCCTTGTGATTAGTTTATGCTCTTGCATCCTGGTACCAACACTGGCCTTTAGCTTAAGCATCCCATTTTCCTCCCGGCAGTCCATTCCCCCGCTACACGTACAGAGAGCAATCATATCTCCTCTGCTAGATGACACAAACTAAGCTCTTCTCATGGGACAAGCTTCCCACTGCACAGATCATCCTACCACCCCTCCCTATAACTGGTCCAGCTGGAATTCATCTTTCTTGAACATGGGTAACCAAGTAAAAGGTACTGCAGATGAAGTCTCAGATGGGTGCGTTGTTGAATGGCATTAATCTCTACGAATTCACTGGGGGAAATGCATATCACCACTCTCTGCTATAACTGCAGACTCCCAGAACAACACCCCACCTCCAGGGAAGTCAGTGGAAAAGGCCTTTTTGGTTTCATTCGGAGCTGGGGAAGGCCCTCAAAATCTTTCTGTCACTTTGTACATTTGGAAAGAAAGTGTTTTCCCATTCACAAAGAAGCTGCACTGATTTTTAGGCGACCCTTAAGGAGAGCACTTTTGCCACCTGCGGCAGGTTCATGTACTTATTATGGCCATCACTATCAGATCAGTTCTTCAGGAGCAGGACAGTCTTGGGTCTCCTTACCTGCACGTTGAATGTGGTCTCATCCAGAGGCGGAGGAGGGGGGAAAGAGCCAGACGACGGAGGGAAGTTGCCAAGATCATCCATAGGAGGCGGTGGTGGCGGCAGGAAGTCCCCTGCAACAGAGAAATCAACAGATTATAAGGGCAAAATGAAATGGAGGTGTGACGCTTCTCTGCTTCATTCAGCTCATCCTCATATAGTGCTTTTCCACGTCTTTATGCTCAGGACCCCTCTCAACACACTCCAAGCCCCCCCTTGGAAAATGTTCCCTCTTCATTTTGACTGCAAAAAAATACTAGAGCAATTCTTCTTCTGTTGCAAAGGGCTCGGAAAGCCCACAAAAGGCCAACATATCTTTGACACTATGGATTCCCATTTGAAATCTCTGGGTTCGTCGTGTGTATCCTAAACAGTGCTAGCATTGCACAGCACCCCAGGTTGAGAGGATCACTAACAGCTCGAACAGCCCCACCACCCATGGGTGCAAGGATGCAACGTGCAGGCAGGAGGGACTGGGGCTCATGGCCGCAGCAGGGACCAGGGGGAGTCTGAACGCTTGCACTGTATTCCCACTGCCACCGACTCAGTGCACAACCTTGGGTGAGTCACTGAACTGTTCTTCAGTCCTCTGCTAGGTTCACATTCACTCCCTTCAAAGCAAGAGGGGAGAGACCTACGAGCATTACTTCATTCCTGGAAGTCATTTGGAGTCCCTGGAAGAACAGGGCTATAGAAATGCAAGCTCTAGGCATCATTACCATCACACATAATGAAGGAGCATGAGGAAAGGAGCAAGCAATTTAAAATGCAGAGGCAGCTTTTACTTTAGACCTGCTTCAGAGAGTAAAAGCACTCATGGCAATGAGCAGTCTAGGTCTGGGGCTGCACAAGGCATCAGAAAAAGAGTACTGGATGATGTCTGAAGGCAGGACTGGCCAACTGGAAGCTCACGGTCCTTGGGCTGTGGATTCATATGGGCACAGTTTGTTTAAGCCCTTGTAGGTACCATGAACAACCCCAACCGGCGCCCCTAAATACAAGGCATGGCATGTCACTTTGCAGCACGCCGGGGATGGCAGACAGCTACCAGGACCCAAAAGGCACATCCATCCCCCTGACATACAGCCTGCTGCCGGCGAGGAGCAACAGCCAGGCTCCCTATTCCTATTGCAGCAATGACTTGCTGGGAGCCGTCTTCACTCACGAGGAAAGAGGAGGCTGCTGGGAGACCTTTCTCTTTGACGATGAAGCCCTGTGCCACCTCCTCCACCTCCCTATTGCAGCAAGCTCATCCCTGAAAGGCCACTGCAATAGGAGAAGGCTGATATTGCTGCCCCTAAGCAAAACCCACTGAACAAACCACGATTCACAGTAAAAGCCGTCTTCAAATCTGCATGAAATAAGCAGCTTGGAGGATTGATCGATTTTCTTTAATTCTCTCTCCCATTTCCCACCCCCCATCCTCCCAGAGAGGTGGTCTAGAAACAAGCTTCCTCGTGCTCTGTACAATTGGGCTTTCGAGGCATTGCAGAAAGCGAGGCCACTCGCTTAGCTTGGAGAGAAACTCTCCCAGAGTCCCGTGGGCGACACGGGCATAGGCAGAGCCAGGTAAAGCAGTCCACCCCCTAGCAAAAATGGAAAACCAGGTTTGCTGCTGGAGGCACGGTGCGGGGAAACATCAGCACCAAATGTGACTGCCTGCGGGGCAGCGGGAGTGGGGGGCAGTTTTCTGCACTTCTGGCTGATTTGGGATCTCCCCCTATTAAGCTCCGTGCTGCCGGCATTGCTACATCCCGTAGCACCTATAGCCGGGTCTCCCGCGTGCCCTTCTTGTTTGTGAAGGTGTAAAACTACAACGAGGTGTTGATATTTTAAACAAGACGGCCCGAGCTACTGTTCCCCTCCACGCGGTGCTGTAACAGGCAACCGTCCCACCTTTTCCAGGGCAGACGGGATCACCCGTGAGAGGCAGCACGGATGCACGGCCCCGTTGTGCGAGATGTCACACGATGCAAATGCTCAGAGCTTGCTTTATCATCAGCTGTGGCCAGATGCAGGGTCAGCCCGATTCGGCAGCCGGCCCCTTTGATCTGGTATCCTGAGTGCGCAGGGTTTCCCCCCAAAGCTGCAAGGCATCTCTATATGCAATAATGCAATATAGGCACGAATAACCACGTGCATGAATCAGCCCTTTCATAACAAAAGCTGTCTGTACAGAGGCATTTACAGCCGCGCTTGGATCTGGACTTCTTATTCGAAACCACGCTGTTAGGGTGCGTACGAAAGCAATGGAAACTGAGCGCTGTTTCAGCGCAAAACCCTAAACCTTTGGGCTCTGCAAAAGCCAAAACGGACGGGACGTTTCAACAGCGTAAGAACTTTTTTTTTTTTTCCTTCCCCCTCTCTCAAACGGCGTTTTAATTGGAAAGAAAAATCAACCTGATTTCACACAGCACTTGAATTTCCACAGAACCCCCCTGCTTGGGTGCACGATGGAAACGCTGAAGTTTCTCTGAAACTTCCAGTGAAATTGCAAAGAGTCAGATGCGACTGCAGGAACCCCGCGCGCCAATGCGTGGCATGACAGCCGGTGCACGGGAGCGGTTCCTGCAGCCCCAGAGCGAAGGGGAGTTACGTGCTAAAGCAGAAGTGAGACAAGGCAGGATGGAGGTCGTCGGGCCGCTGCAGTAAACACAACCCTGCAGCTTTGCACATTCAATAAAGTATTCCTCCAGAGAGTTCATAAAAACAGATCCAACTTCTTAAAAAACCAGACGAGGCATGTTGGACGGCGCTTGGGGAAAGCGTGTTTCTTCGTATCTGGACACCGCTGGCTCGGCCGCCACGTGACAAAGTTTGACACTGCTGGACTCTCCCTTCGCCGGGGCTCAGAATAGATTGCTTCCCCTCTTACTGGAAGGAAGATTTGCAGAATGGGAAGCAAACAGCAGATGCCAGATCCACTGCAGAGATCTTACAGATGTTTGGTCTGCTTTCCATAACCTCCCTGAACAGATGGGTCTTTCTCCTCTACAGCTGCAGCTCTTTATTCTACCCCGGTGTTTCCTTTTCTTTTCCCGCACACATGCACACGGGCCCCGATGCTGTTCCCACTCGAGCGACAGGCAGAAGCCCCCTTTATTTCCCAGAGAAGACGGCGTGTATTCAGTTCGAAGGGTGGAAAGGCCGAGAGGTCTAAAGACACAGATTCAAAGTAGCTCCCAGCTTGAGCTGCAGTGGAAAAACCAGGGCATTTCATTTGGCCTCGGGGTGAGGGATGGGGTGCAACGATAGTTAAACATTAAAAGAAAGCACATGCTGCATGGGAATGGCACCTGCAACTAAGCAGCAATGTCAGGACATTAATTAATCACCCGGTGGGGTGGGCAAGTGGCAGTAGCCTGGTTTTGGTCAGAGAAAGGCAGGGTTAGCAAGGAAGGGGGGAAGCTCGGACTCTCCAACCTCCCGTCCATCACCCCATAACAGGCAGAAGACAGACCCTGCTCTGGCTGTCGACAGCCTCATCTGTCCTTGCAGACCCACAGCACCCACCACGCACTTCAGATGCAGGCCCCGGGACCCTCTTTGCCGGGTCCTTTGGGCACGAAGCCCAAGGCAGCCGAGCGCAGCTCTTCAAGGGGATGCTACTCCAGAACAAGGAGCAATGGGCTCGAGTTGCAGCAAGGCAGGTTTAGGTTGGATACAAGGGACATCATCTCACCAGGAGGGTGGTGAAGCACTGGGACAGGTCACCCAGAGAGGTGGGGGAGTCTCCATCCTTGCAGGTTTTGAAGCCCCAGGTGGACCAAGCCTTGTCTGGGATGATGCAGTTGGGGCTGGTCCTGCTTGGAGCAGGGGTTGGACTAGATGTGACCTCCTGAGCTCCCTTCCCACCCTCATTTTTAATGATTCTATGAAATAATTACATCCAGGTGGAAACCGCGGCTCTTCCTGGGCACTCCCACCCCATGCTGGTCCATCGCATTGAACCCTCGTGGAGAAGAGATCAGCCAGGACAAGGGCTTGCTGCTTGCAGACATTTGCAGCCTCCTCCCAAGTCCTAACCCAGGTCGAGGAGAACGTATTAGCACAACGAGCAGCGTCCGGGTGGACATGCCCACGTCTGTCTGGATCTCTGTCCCGGAGCAGGACCTGCCCAAGGACCCAGGACCCAGGCTTCGAACCCACATGTGCTGGCAGCACGGTCTTTCCGAGCCTGGGGGCACTCGGTCGCTCCAGGCATGCAGGGTACCGGGGGAGCTGTGACGAGTGACCCCAGCTAGGGCCCGTCGCAGTGAATTGAAGGCTTGATGCATCCTCTCCAATCGTCTACTACGAACCCTCGAGCGGCCTGGACCGAGAGTTTGGTCCAGGGACTCGTGACCATGTGCTCCAGCTGGAAGGGTTGGCATCCCCCCCTCTGATTCCCAAATCTTTAGAGGGCTTGTTTTGGGTTGTTGGGGGGTTTTTTGTACTTCCTCTTGTTGCAGAGGCCGGAGTACCAGAAGCTGCAGTCTCAGCCTTTCCACGGCCTCTCTGGTTGTAAACAAAATCACGCTTTTCTGGGCCTTCTGGTTTCCATATCTGGCTAAGACTCTCTCAGTGCTCACGCTGCCAATCCGATCCCAGCGCAAGCCGTCTCCACAGCCTTGGCACGACCTTCCTGGGCCCGGTCCTATGTGTTTGTAACCATTCTTCCCCGCAAACCTGGAAAGATGAAAGCAAATGAGCCCAGACAAGACTGGCTGGGGACCTCTGGAGAAGTGGATCGGACCAGGCGTCCCTTCTCTCCAGTGGAGGTGACTACCCTCACCAAGTCAGCTCGTCCCTTCTTCCAACTTTGATCGGAGGACAAGTCAGCCCAGAACCCGGCCGTCCTCTTGCACGGAGGCAAACGTGTCTTGAAATTGGGTCTTGTTCGCCCCACATCTGTGTCGTACGTGGACACACACACACCGCACAGGCCTGGACCGCTTTTGCAACCCTCAGCAAACCCAGGGCTCTCAAGCTCCATTTCCCGTGCTGGCCTGAGCCCGTGACATGGCTACACATTTGCTAGCAAAGAGGATCAGTAATGGGAGTTTGACTGTTCCCCTCACCCCCACTTTACAGG